CCCTCCCTCCCTCTCCTCCCTTCCTCCCTCCCTCCCCATCCCTTTCCTTTCTCTCTGTCTGTTTGTCTCTCCTGCTTTGCAGCTAGCTAAAAGCCACCTACCTGTTCCGCACAGGCCACTCCTTTTGTCCCTTTACCCTCCAGAGCATCTGGGGGTGGACGGATACACCAGCCCTTTGTATTCCGTTTCCCAGACCTGATGAAAAGCACCACCTTTAGTAGAGCAAGCTGCTAGCCGTCCTGTGTACACACAGGATGACTGGAGTAGGAGGCGAGTTGTGGGCAAACACAGCCGATCTGTATTTGATAGTGGGCACTGCTTAGAAACAACTGCCAGGCTCAGTCATCTCAAATACAAACACAATGATGGCTCTTTATTAAAGCCGTCGCTGCCAGGCAGAGCAGGGGCATGGCAGCGCTCCAAGTCTGGGAATGTAGCTCAGTGGTAGAGCTCTTGGTGTGTGTGGGGGCGTGCATACCAGCCGTGTTCTAATATTGGAGAAAGGAAAGAAAAAGGTGAGATTTTTCATGCTTCCTGTATCTACCAAATCCTTTGCTTTAGTTGCTTAGGAAGTAAGAGCTTGTCTTTGCTAAAGTTGACTTTTAAGGTTTTAATAAAAAACATCTATGTGTTGTATAAGTGTTTTTGCCTGCTTGTATGTATGCCACATATATGCCTGATGCCCAAAGGGGCCAGAAGAGGGAGTCAGATCCCCTGGAACTGGAGTTACAGATGGTTGTGAGCCACCAAGTTGGTGCTGGGAAGAGAACTGAAGTCCTCTCCAAGATGGCTGAGCCATCTGTCCAGCCCCGGCTGAAGGTGGTTTGTAGGGTAGTGAGAACTTACGCAGAGCATTCCAGGCTGTTAACCAGAAGGGAACTGCCTCTCTAGTTTTGTTTGTCTGTCTCTGTGTCCTGAGACAGGGTCTCACTATGTAGCACTGGTCAACTTGGAACTCTCTGTGTAGTCCAAACTAACCTTGAACTCACAGCCTGCCTGCCTCAGCTTCCCAAGCGTCACCACGCCCCAGCCTAAATTAGAGGAGGTGCCACCCTTGGAGCTCACCCCTTTCCTGGGCTGCTGTGTGAGGCTGGTAGCCAGGCTCTGACCCCCAAGCACAGCCAGTCTCCTGGCGTCTTCTCCTCAGGCCTGGCAGTGCAGTGCTGGGCTGGACACGCAGCTGAGACTCCCGTCTGCCTGTCAGCTGGACACACAGCTGAGACTCCCGTCTGCCTGTCAGCTGGACACGCAGCTGAGACTCCCGTCTGCCTGTCAGCTGGACACACAGCTGAGACTCTCATCTTGTCAGCAACGATGCAGCTCTGCTGTGAGAATTTCCCCAAGGTCTTCCACGTACATTATCTCCCTGCAAACCCATGCTGCTGGCAACCCTGTTGTTTTGCTCCCTCTGTACGAACAAGCAGGACAGATCTGCTCAAGGTCAACAGCTAAGTTGGCGGCTGATGTAATGATTTGTCATGCCTCTGTGCTTTTGATTGTGCTGCTTCTGATGCCAAGATGTCACCCTTCCTCCACTGCCCAGGTTTCTTCTGGACCTAGGATCCCTCCCCTCCCTCGCCCTTGCAGTGAGTCTATCAAGGCTGCTTGGAGATCGGCCTCTTGCTCCTGTTCCCCACCCCTGAAAGGATTTGACTGCAGCGTCTGTACCATGGAGCTACAGCATGGAGATCACGTACAGTGAACTACACTAGCCTTTACTCCCTGGTGTATCTCTTGCTGGGAAGGAGGACCAGGGCAGCATTTTCAGAAGGAAGTCTGGACATTTCTGTTGACATATGTAAATAAGTTCTTTGGCTTGGAAGTCCCACGTGGAGGAAGCTATTGGTTCTGTTTGGTTAGTACATTTTTTTTTTTTTTTTTTTTTTTTTTTTTTTTTCGAGACAGGGTTTCTCTGTGTAGCTTTGCGCCTTTCCTGGAACTCACTTGGTAGTCCAGGCTGGCCTTGAACTCACAGAGATCCGCCTGCCTCTGCCTCCCGAGTGCTGGGATTAAAGGCGTGCGCCACCACCGCCCGGCTGGTTAGTACATTTAATGAGACTTTATCCTGTTTGAAGCAGTGTTCTAGGCTCTGGGGGTACAGCAGAGGCTGAAATGGATACACATCCTTTATGAAACATGCATGCATTCCTTTGGGTCAGTCGGTAGTGTGCTTGCACAAAGCCGTAAAAACTGGGCATGGGAAGCTGGAGAGATGGCTCAGCAGTTAAGAGCACCAAC